TAATTGTACAATATAGACATAACAGTTACAATAAGGTAGGTTTACTATTTTCAAGGAATTATTTCGTTACTTTTTAGTGTACTGTTTTTCTAGAATATTTTGTTATATATATATTTTCACGCCTTTAAACTAAGGGGTAAATATTTTGGATAAATACCCAAATGTGGGAAAGAGTCCATAAGTTGTTGCCAACATCAAGGAAGCAAGATTGCCATGGTTTGACATCAGGTCAAATCTCTTTCACATTTGCAATTGATAATTTGAAAAATGTGAACAATAAAATATTTTTTTTATAATTCCATGCGGATAAAGTCGCACGACAACAGCTAGTGTTGTTATATTATTGATATTCAAATAAATATCTACAAACTTAACATTGAATCAATATAAATAGGAAACTATTACAAAACGGCAATTGACGTACGAACATGAAGTGTGTATTGCAGAAGAATTCATAAAAAAACTGATTTATTTCCATTACTTTTATTGGTAAATACATAACATCCTTATCATACAAATCTCAGATACTTTATCGTATACATAACACTGATAACATCTTTTTACTAATATTATAAATGCGAAAGTTTAAATGGATGGGTACAAACAAGCATAAAAAAAATGTGTGGATAGATGGATGTTTGTGAGAGTTTGTAGCCGAACGGATCTCGATCAAATTCGGCATAGATGTAGAGGATATTTTGGAAAACACATACGCCAATGACGCTAGTGAAAGCTAGTTTAAAAAATACATTACACAATGAGCAAAAGATTATTAAATCACCAATTTATTTAGTACATATAGATAGTAAATGCAACCATGATTTTTCCTTTTAAAATTATGAATTCTTGTAACTCTCACTCTGTTTCTTATCTTCTTTTAACGTTCAAGGAGAATGGTCTATGACGAGGATGTTTTGTGCCGCTTCACAAGCTTCTCAGATCATTGCCTATACCCGTCTACCGGATCAACTTTATTTGGATTCATCATCATATAGTTGTTGTTGTGGACGTGTATCTCCTCGGGTTTGCGGTCACTGTGCACCATAGCCGCGTTTTGTCGCTTTAAATGTTCGTTCTCTTGCTGCAGTTTCTCTAAGTCACTGTAAGAGACACCGAGAATTTTATCTTTGATCCCTTTCAACATGTTGCCGAGACCGATAAAAAATTGATCCAAATATCCGTGTGTAGTTGGCACAACTGCCAGTAACGCAATTACACTTATGATATAAATAGTTTTCATTATTTTATATTCCGAGAACTTTTGACAGCGACCGCTCGATCACTCCAAACTTATGTTTATGAACAACGAGCATCCTACGTTTTCGTTATATACACCTAAATAAGTCTGTCTGCAAACGTTTTTAATTTGGACTGCATTTCTTATCGACGAGTAGTCAATTTAAAAAATACCTAGGAATGTTTCTTTGTGGTGTTCACTTAGAAACGCCTGTCATCTGTATGTTCTTCTGCTTTTTTTGTTTTTTATTGTCTACAGTAGTTATATTAATTTGGTTGTGAACTTTGAACATGCAATTAGTGTATCTTTCCAATAAATAAATAAATAAATAAATACATACTCGTAGTTCAGGAATACGACTAGGATTAAATTTTCAAGATATGTATTAATTGATACTTAAATATTAGTCTGTCATTTAAATTAAAAGCCTTGTTAATGTTCTTGTGCGATGCGCCTAACGTAATCTTTATTATATCACTAGCATTCGCCAGCGACTCCGTCCGCGTGTAATTAAAAAAACAAATGTAAGTAGTCTATGTGCTATTTCAGACTATCCTCTACATCTGTGCCAGATTTCATAGAGATCCATTCATCAGTTTTGGCTACAAACCCTAACAGACTTCCATCCCTCCACCCATCTACACTTTCGCATTTATGTTACTAAGATTGTCTACATTACGCTAAAAGTGATGAATTAAAAATCGTTAGAGTGTGCATTTCAGGATAATGAAAAAACTGATGTATTCAATTTGCTTTTATTTTCAACCTCAGAAGTAATAACATACCTCAACATAAAAATCTCAGATAATTATTGGACATTTCATAGGGTTTTTTTCCACGTTGTCGTCATTTACATTAACCAGCGGAGGTCAAAGAGTTTAATCACGTGTTTAACGAAATATAGACAATTAATACAGCATAAAAATGTAAGCAGTAAGGTCGTGACCACAGAAGAAACAATATAACACAGTAAGAAGACAGCTAACAAACAGACGGGAACGATACAACAAAGAGAATGGTCTACGACGAGGATGTTATATGCCACTTCACACGTTTCTCAGATCAATGCCTGCAGCCGTTCTATCGGAATCATTAACATACGGCTTCATCACCATATAGTTGTTGTTGTTCACGTGTATCTCCTCGGGTCCAGGTCTGCGGTATCTTTGCACCATAGCTTCGTAATGTCGCCGTAAATATTCGTTCTCTTGCCGCAGCCTGTATACATCAGCGTAACTATTATAAGGGTAATCGTTATCACGGTTCTTGTTAAAACCCAACGAAAATCCGAAACCGAATGCATCGCAAACACTACAATAAGGGTAACCGAAAAATCAGCTTACAAGCTACCGGGCTTAGAAATTTGGAATCTTGCATCGGTAGATTTCTGTTATTACGTAGATTACTAGCTACTAAGTTAATACTTTTGATAATAGGTTGAAAAAAAAGGGCGAACGTAATAGGTTATATTTGTTATTTCACGCGGGCGAAGTCGCGAGTAACAGCTAGTTTTTTTAGATTCTGAGAGTTCTTTATAGCGACCGTTTAATCACTTAACACTTATGATTTATGAACAACAAACGAGAAACATTATCTTATACTAGCTGTTCCCGTGCGACTTCATCCGCGGAATATTATGAAAATTTTATTTTGTTGTTTACATGTGTCAAATTCAAAGTCAATGTCAAAGTGACATGACATTATGACAAACCATGGCAACCTTGCTTCCTTGATGTTGGCAGCAAGTTATGGTCTCTTTCCCACACTAGGGTTTTTATGCAAAATATTTACCCCCTGAGTTTAATGGCGTGAAATATATAGCCTAAAGCGTGACGTTAGTGTAGGACTTTTTGTTAAAGAAAGAATTATTCAAAAATATGCTGTAATTGCTGACATCTTAGGCAACAAATAAGTGTGTGTTTACGCTTTATTATAATAGTATAGATAGATAAGTTTATGAAAGGGTTATCTTTTGGTAAAACCTGAAATGCGTTACGCTATAAGTCCGTCTACAAACTTTTTTAATTGTACCGCGTCTCTTATTAGTAAATGGTCAATTTAACGATAATAGAAACTCATTATAGTTACATAAGGTTTCTTTGTAGAGTTGAGACTTCAAGTATGCGGCTAAGAAATTTATTATTTACAACACTGCATCAGATTACATCCAAGAACTTGATAAAGACGTAAGACGAAGACGTAAAAGAAAAACGCGCAGTCAAGTCGCGTGCAAGGGCTAGCAAGATTTAAATATACATTGGAAACTTATATTTCGATACACACTGCTACGATTTTTTTTATAACATAAGATGGCAAACGAGCAAGCGGCCACCTGAATCCGCCAAAATGGCGAAGCGACCGCTGCCCATAGACATATGCAATTGCAG